TATATCAGACGAATTTGGGGCAGCCATGTTTATAGTTTGGCGAGAAGAATTTGAGCTAAGGAGAGACTAAATGAGCCTCTATTTTGCCGACCAAACCATTTAGGTACAATTAGATATTTACCGTACTCCAAATTCCACCATGAAAGTAGCCATACCAGGTCAGTGGCTTGATATCACGGGATATCAGAGCAAACGACAAGGATTCTGAATTTGCTAATTGCGAATTGAGGTACGTTAAATGACGTAAACGACGTAATTTTACCTACAGATACTTAAAAGCTATTGTAACCATCGCTTTTAATCAAATTCTTAGATAGCTTTAATAAACGATTTTGGAGCCATGTAGTCTTTACGCATTTGCAATAGCCTTTTATTTGTTTTTATGAATAAATAATACCAGGTATTTTATGCTTCAAGTTTTCATAGCGGGTAGGCAGGTAATATCATTGTAAACATTTTGGATGCTTTATTAAAAAAGAAAGAAAAGATAAACTGGTGAGAAGTTCGTTCTTATTAACCAGGAAATGACGAATGAGGAATTAGCGTGAAAGACAATTCATCGAAAGGCATTTCGTCTCGACCTTCCAAAGTTCTAAACCAATCGCTAGCATGCCCTTTGAGATACAATGGAAGTCCCAAAACTAAATTGGATCCACTTATTTCATTAAAAAGTGAGGCACGTTCATCATTTTCTATAAACTCATGTACATCTTCACGCTCCAAGCCTGTAAACACTGGAAAGTGAACTAACAGTTTCTTCGTGGACCAAGTGGATTGTAAATTATTTGTAGTCCTTAACTGCTCTGCTGCGTGGAGCAACGGAGAAAATGGACCATTCAGTGTGGTTGTCATTGTGTGTTTTTTTAAAAGCAGTTTTAACGCCGAATGTCAATTTTGTTTTGGATTTTTCTTATCCTCTTGAACCTTACTCGTTATTTCCCGAATTTCTTGCTAAGTTCGTTTTTGCAACCATGCCCAGCGTTTTTCTTCATTAGGTTAGATCACTTCACAGATGCCGCCGTTTTTCGAATGAAGGCTGTAGCTTTGATCGACGACACACCCAGGGAAGGAAATTTTGAGCTATTCGAGATGTAAAAAGCCTGCACGCTTTGTGGCACTGGATCGAGCGTTTCGTTTTTGTCTGTGGTGTATATGTGGTTTTTCACAAAGCACGAAACTACAGGTCATGCCATATATACAAATTTTACAGAATCGAAACGACTTTTCGATTTAACTTGAATGTGCGAAGTAATCAGTGCGTAGCAATCACCAGCTTAAAATAAAATAAAATGTACTTAAAAGAACCAAATGCCACTAGTGACCACTGTAATGTAAAAGTACCGAACTCTTACAAAATTTTTCGGAAAACCACAGCTTAAATAGCGACCTAGTTACTTAACCATGAAATAAACTACACGAACTACATTTTCGAGCCGAGCTTGCAAGGGGAGGCCACCTAGAACAAAGTCACTGTTCAATCACAAGTCTTCGGTTCAAACGCTGGGCTCTCCACGACGATTGAAGGGGGCTAACTGGTCACCAACAAGGAGTATCGAGACTCTGAGACTTAATCTTTAATATTCTGGACTTTTACGTTGTCCACTACTTCTATATTCTCTACTCATTATGCATCTTTACAATGCACTCACTGTTATGTTAACTCTGCCTACGTCTGGGACTCAAGCCAAGGGAAAACAGGAGGTACAAAACAAAGCACGCTGATGTAAATCCTACACGAACGCAGCTGATTTGATAGGCAAGCAGAGATTAACCAATTAAAAACTAGAAAAATAGAGTAATCTAAAGCAACAGCTAATCTTGGATCTATCTGTGGGAGGTAGAAGCTATGGTCGCAAGAATGACACAAACAGTGTACACTGGTAAACGTCCAAACACAAAGTTTAAGAATGAAACGTTTGGACTTCAAACGGAAGAGGCGTTCAAGGATTGAGTGTTTCACATATGTAAGTTAACCTTGGCTTGTCAAATTAAACTTTCTTTAAAACATTTGGCTGCACTACAATAGTCATTACTAGCCGTTCTCGATCCTCTTTTTCATGCCAAGCTATTGTGTGCGTACTGGTTCCTCCTTTGTCTGTTTATAGACCTTTTAGATGTTACATACCAACTGACAATAAACATATGACGGGTTTAGCAAGGGTGTTAGTGCATCGGGGGATATGTTAAGGTTTGTTGACAAAACGCTCAAAACGATGGTTATGAATATTCTGGTTGTTGCTCAAATTTTAAATTGATTGAAGGCGTTAATAACCGTTTTAAAATGATAGAACGCGAAAAAGCAAAACAACCCAAACACCAGCTAGCGGTTTGACCAATCCTCACTTAAGCTTAACTCAGGCTAATATAACCTAAAACATCATGGAATGGAAAACCTTAGGGAGAGATTGGAAGGGAAGGAGGCTGAGATAAAAATACCTCCTTCGAAATAGGAAGGGAAGAAAGTAGGGAGTGTTATTCCTTTTGCGTACTTGTGGCGAGACACCCATATCGGACGTCACTTCCGAGCCCGGGGAGCGGGGTCTTCAATTGCTTCTACTTGCATAAAAGTGAATACCCCGTTCATGCCCGACGGGGGAAGGGAGTTCTGGGGATTCTGCAGTCTACTGGTGCATTATTTCAAGAGAATAAAAATTTCACTATTCATGCCACGGATAGTTTCTTGAGTTATGGCAAAGAATAGCTGATATCTGATACTTGGATTAAGTTAACCATTCTCACCCCATTTGAATTTTTACTATCGTCAAGATTATGACGTCATTAGACACGTGACCACAATATGAAAATCTTCAGCGATATAGGTAAAGTCTGCATGCGAGCCAAGTGGCCCATCAGGCCGTAGCTTGTCCCGGTTTCTGTAGCATGAAGCGACTAGCAGTATTTCTACTCCCCCCTGGAGAGGATATGCTAGTCCATCGTAGGGTTACCCCCAGCATTAAGTTCGCCGGTACCCATTTATACACCTGGGTTGAGAGAGGTACTGTGAGAGTAAAGTGTCTTGCCCAAGAACACAACACAATGTTTTCGGCCAGGGCTCGAACCCGGACCGCTCGATCCGGAGACAAGCGCACTAACCATGAGGCCACCGCGGCTCCCAGTGATATAAGGACACTAAATTACGTTTGGTCTTCCTGAGGAAAAACAATGTTGTTTCTAAAGGGAAAAGGTTTAAACTTCGCAGGGAATCTTAACCAAGGGACGAGCTTGAGGGAGGTTTCAACTGACGGGTGCATTATTCTAGGCTGGCCAAGCAGTTAAACTTGTAAGTTAATTAATTAAAAAAAATAAGTCTTCTCTTTACTAACTTCATATAGTTTTCACACAATGAAACGCAAATACATCTTTTTCGTTATATATCTTATTTACAATACCCACCGGATCCCCCACCCCCATCCCCTCAAAAAAATAACTTACTGAATGACACAAATTTCCAAGCAATATTTCCTCATATTCAAATTATTCCTGGAAAGTCTCCGCTAGTTACATTTGTAAGGGCCAATTTCCAATTCCCTCGGTTTCAATAGGCAAGATTCACTCTAGTTCACTGACTTTAATTCGACTAACACTCCAATAAGACTCTCCTGCTTGCTTGTACATAATTCCATCAATCGTCCGCCTCTTTATCCGTCTTATCCGTCGTTACTTCGAGTGAATCGCGTACACACTACAACGTTTGCCGACGTTCGCCATTACATGCACACTCGAAAAGATCACGTGACTTAAACGCGGGAAC